GCAGTCTGGCATCCTGCAAACTGGGGGAACTACAGAGTGCACACACTGATGTGACAGCCCAAGGATGGGACTGAAGTTAAGGCACAGGTATAAGAACCAGGATTTCTGGGGCCCTGGAGAAGGATGTTTAATGACCTTAATGAATTAATTAATCTGACTTCCCCCATCCTGTTCAGAAGAGACCTCAGTGCCCTCATGTTGCAGACAGAGGAGCCTGTGTTCAGGCAGTCTGGAGGACTGGTTACCTTGCTCAAGCACAGGTGTGCAGCACCATCTGAAACTCCCCACGGAGTCTGGGAGCCTCTGCTCTGGAGATCCCTGTGCTCCGGCACGGGCCTGGAGGTGAACAGTAGTGGCATCTCAAAGGTCACTGACAACCAGTTCTAAAGCAAGGAATTGGCCCTTTCTGGCCTGATTACTGTTCTGATGTCTCCATGAGCAATGGGCACGAGCAGGACCCAAGACCAGAGCTCAGCTCCTAAGTCTGTACTTTGGTCCCAACATGTTACTTTATGCATGATGTACATCATCTGTGAGAACTCTTTTTTTCCTGAGTCTTTCCTGAAGAGACTCACCTGCATTTCTTTTTCTTTAAAGGGTAGAGCTGGTTTTCCTGAAGGAGAAGCACTGTAATACAGTGTCATGGTAGTGGTCAGAAAATGTTTTTCACATCAGTGAAAGGTCTGCTCCACCATAGACCTGTCCAGAGATACCAACAGTGTTTCCTCTCTGTGTGTGCGGTCACAAAATCCTTTCTCTTCCCCTTAGGTAACAACGTTGTTGGTGTTGCACCATTCTTACCACGACATAGTCTGTGTCTTTGTTTCAGGTTAAGCCTGATGCATTACCTCTCTGTGTGTGCGGTCACAAAATCCTTTCTCTTCCCCTTAGGTAACAACGTTGTTGGTGTTGCACCATTCTTACCACAACATAGTCTGTGTCTTTGTTTCGGGTTAAGCCTGATGCACTGGGAGTTGGTTAGCAGCCCCATCCTCACCTCCTCTGCTTTCCTTCGCAGGAATTGGATATGCCTCACAAGTCATTGAGTGGTATCTGAATATTTACTACATCATCATCCTGTCCTGGGCACTCTTCTACCTGTTCAGCTCCTTCACTTCAGTGCTACCATGGGCCAGCTGCAATAACCCCTGGAACTCAGGTACACTTTCCCTTGATTAGCTTCTAGCTTCTTTCCAATTCCCAGGAACTATCTGGGGTTTGTAGAAAGTATGTTTTGTTTGGATAAGAAGTACCCATGAACTGCGATGTGGTTTCACCAAAAGATCTGTTTTCTGGCAAGCAGGAATTTTCAAGCCAGTCTAGTTCTCCTCACATGGCAGGAACTTTTTATTAGCTCTGGTACAAAAATTTATCTTACAGTTCTCTTACTCTACCCCACTCCTTCAGAGTTACTGGGACAGCTGCTGCCAGTACCTAAACAGTTTCCTCCATGCACTCAGCTTTTGGATAAATCAGGCCAAGCCTGCACTGGAGGATTTTGCCAGTACAGGAGCAAGTAACACAGAACTCTAAGAACACTCTTTTCTTGGTTTAATCACATCCATACAGCCTCTATACCATCACACTGGCCAAGGATCTCATCTCCTCATGCCCACAATTCACACAAATGCGCCCGGCAGAGAAGATCTGGCTTTGGTTTCACTCAAGGCACTTGGGCTGTGCCTGGGAAGATGGGGTAGACATGAGGTAATCCTCTTGGATCTCATGTCCTTGACAGGACATATTGAATAGGTTGTTTTGCTCAGCAGCAGCAGCTTGGTTCCCTCTGTTTTTCTCTTGTGTCAGATGGTTCATTTCTGTGATGTGTTAAATTTCTCCTCCCCATGGGCCATTCACTCACCACTTATTCTGCCCCTTCATCCCAGCAGAGGTAACCAGCCTTTTAAAGAGTTGATCTGATTCCTTCAGTTCTCCCAGCATGGGTTTGTTTGCAAGGAAAGCCATACATGTTCTCTTAGCAGGCAGAAGCTTCCCAGGCACAGCCAGGCTTCCTCAGCTTTACAGTGGATTGTCTTTTGCTTGCTAAGTGCAAGACAAGGTGCATTTCTTGGATGCACGGCATCTCCTCTGTTTCTAGTAATTTCATGCCATGTGACAGGGTTGGGGATGGCAGAGGGGAGCATCAAGGCAGCTGCCTTGTGTGTGAACACATGCATATATGTGTGGACAGGGAATGGTGCATGATGTGGGAGGAGAATGGGATTTTTTATCCTGGCTACTCATAGTGGCTATTGCTCAATAATCTATATTTTGCAGCCATCTGGTTCTCATTTGGCAGGTAATCGTTCTCTCCTTCCTCTCTCCCCTTTCTGAAGCCCTCTGGCTACTGTTGGATTGGGATTTGTAGCCGGGGAGAGCCAGAGTTTAATGAGATGATTAATGAGATGCAAGAGTTTAATGAGATGCTCTATAGAACAGGGTGAAGGGTCTGTGTGCTGCCAGAGTGTGGGTTAGAGTGCAGAGGGGAAGGAGCATCCCTCATGGAGGAGTGTTAGAGGATTTCTCTGGCTCATCAGCTTCCTTTTCTTTTGGTAGATCTCTGTGTGGACATTCTGAATAGATCCAGCCTGGACAACAGGACCTTGCCCGCAAACACCACCTCCCCAATGATCGAGTTTTGGGAGTACGTGATTGCTTTCCCTGTGTTCAGACTCCTCTCTCACCCAGAGGCTGCAGCTCCAGGAGTATCTGGGTGGTGGGCTATGTGTCTCTGTAGGACCAAGTGAGGTGCCATACGTCAGACCTGAGCATGGGGAGCACACTGAGCTGCCAAGGAGATCGGCACAGAGCCCAGGGCCGTGAGGACTGGATCCACCCTGAAGCCTGCTTCACAGGGTGCCTGCTCATGTGCACACACGCACAGGCATATTCTCTTTCTGGCACTGAAGTGTCTGGGTGAATGTGGGCACCAAAACAGGCACAAAAAGCAGATGAAGACTTGCTGCAAGCAGTGGGTACATGGGTTGGGTGTTGCAGGCTACTGTTGGCAGGCAAGCATGAGAGGCCAGGGCAGACTGAACAGTCTTCCACAGTGAAACAGAAAGGGATGAAGCTGCCTTCTCCCTTCTTCTGCCCACGTTTTGCTTGCTGCCTAAGGAAAGTTGTTCATCAGGCTGCTCAGGATCATCCCTAGAGAGCAGGGATCTGAGGTACATGCATGAGATGCCAGAGAGGAATTTGAGGAGGTTTGGTCACAGGGCTGGAGGCAATAAAACACTGTCTGAGGGAGGGGTCCAACAGCAGGCTGGACAGTGTCCCAGACAGGGTCATCACTGCAGCCTGGATAGGCTGAAATGACTGCTGGTGCCACACCACATCTCCACAGTCTACTGAGGAAGGTCTCATAAAGAAGAGGGGTGTCAGGGACTCAGCTTCAGCAGTTGTTTTTGGGTTTTTTCCTATTTATGGCACCTAAAGTGCTTCTGAAAGGGTTGAGTCTTTTGCAGCCTGTTGACTGTGCAGCCACCAGAGATCACATCGAAGATGATACACACCCATGTTTTCAGAAAGAGTCTGCACAGTGCTGGGTCCCCTCTGCTGCCTTGTGCTTTGCACATGCTATTTAGCAAGAGCTGAGACCTCTCTGAAATGACAGTTCTGGTCTTCTACATAGAAAGCAAGGGGTCCCTGAGGGGACTGGTTTGGAGAAGGGAGTGCAGAGAAATTCTAAGTGTGGGGTTGGGCTTCTGGGGACTGCATACAATATAGTTCTGAGTTTTTGTGTGGCCCACCTTCATGATGGTGAGTCTTCAAGGAAGGAGGCTGAAGGAAGGGCATGGGAATCATAAAGATCATTTATGCTTATATATAGGCTGTCTGTAGTGCATGGGAAGGGAGAATGGTGGCCATGGGGTGATGATGGCATTGGTGGCCTGCTTTGGATTGAGTAGCCTCTGCTGGGCAGCTGTTGGAGTGGGGGAGCTATGGGGAGCAGGTGTTGGTTTTCTGTAGTGTGGGTCTGATGGGCATGGCACCGTGGTTTTGGAGAGTGGGAGGGTTTGGACCATCTACAGGAAGTGGTGGAGCAACATCAGCAGAAATGAGAGAGAGGGGAGCCCTAAGCAGAGCTGGGGTGATTCACGTGGCTGGAAGCCCTGGGCAGATGAGTTGTGGATAGTCTATTAAGTCTCTGGATGGGGTAATATGGGAAAGGTCTGTCTTGGGTGACTGAGGTCTGGGGTGTTAATGCTTCTCTCCCTGTCCCTGGACACTGGCAGGAAGCGAGTCCTGGGGCTCACGGATGGTATTCACAATCTGGGCACCGTGCGCTGGGAGCTGGCGCTGTGTCTCCTGCTGGCGTGGATCATCTGCTACTTCTGCATCTGGAAAGGGGTCAAGTCCACAGGCAAAGTAGGAATGAAGATTATCCTACCAGTCCATAAGCTTCCTTGTACCCATCTTACGTTTCTTCCCCAATCTCTTTTCCCTCTTCATGAAGTAGGGGCAGAAGACACACGGTACCGAAGTCAAACCTAAAACCTTGTGAGACCATACTGATTGTCACCAGTTGTGTTTGACTTCTTTGAGGAAGAATAAAAGAGTAGGTCCAACCAGGAGGGGAGAACAGGGAAAGAACTTGGAACTGAGGGGAGTCCTGAGTCACCTTTTCCCTTGCAGATACCCACAGTGGCTGATGACTACTGCCCAAGTGCCCTTGGGAGTCACTCGCTCATCACTGTGTTGTCCTGGTGTGGCTTGCTGGTGTTTTTAACGAGAGCCTCTGCAGTGGCAAACTTCCCAACCCTGGCAGTAATTAAACACTTGAGCAAAACAGACAAGCTGCTACCTGTACCCAGCTCAGTGAATAGATAATGAATCTTTTCTGCTTGTTTATCCTGCAAAACACTTGGGTTGGGCCAAGTGTCTGTGCTCTCTTTTGTACTCTCCCTGGAACTGCAGTTTAGGTCACTGTCTGCATTTTGCTAGCAAGGATGGAGCCAAAGCTCCCTCCGGATGTTGATCCTGTAAGGCAGGTGGACTGGTTTTCCTTTTGGAGTGTGATGCCTTGGGCTGGATATTAGAGATGCTGCCATGGCCTTGATTTGCTCAGGACCTCTTTCTTTCCTGGAGCTGCAATGAGATGGGTGGGTCAGTTGGGTCTTGTAGGTGTCCAGTGGATATCCCAATAACAAAGAGAGGGGAACCAATTTCTGCAACAGACTTCTTCCTTCAAATCACTGTCTCTACTATTGGCAGGTGTTCCCTGTAGTACTGAATGTCCATGTTTCAGTGTCAAATCCCACCTCCTACCTTAAAACTGCACTGAACACCCATTCCAACAGAGCAAGACAATAGCTTGCTCTGCTCACTACATTTTCCTCACATTTTGCTGATGACTCTGGCTCTGGCTGGTGCTGACCTGTTGTCCACCATTTCTCAAGGAGGGACAGCCAGACTCCACATCTGTGGGGAGAGGGGATGCTTTGCATTTTAAGCCTTAAATCTCTGATGTCCCCTGGTTTGAATAACACAGTGCCATCTTCACAAGAGGTATCATGCTGATTTTGGGAGATTGGGTCTGAGAGGCTGTTTGACCAGCACGGAAGTGTCATTAAGTCACCTCAGGTTTCCTTCAGCTCTCAGCCTTCCTCACTGAGTCTCTCCTTTGCCTAGTGCTGCCCCAGTGTGAAAAACTTGCCTGCACAAGGAGAAAGCTAAAGCAGTTCAGTCAGTCTGGTTGAGCTGATTGAGCTTGGTAAAGTCAGATAAGAAAGAGAGAAGAAACAGTGGGTGCACTTAGTAGCTGGAATGGGTTGGTTCCCTGAGACTACAGAAGATTTTTCCATCACATGGTTTAGGGTACAGGAATTACTTTTTACCAGCCAGATGTTATGGGCATGATGCAACAATACAGGGAGGGGCTTTCTGTGCCAAAGTATACTACAGGTCAAACAGTACTGTTGTTTTCTCTGCAAGCAGTAATTTTGAGTATTACAGAAGCACTTTCAAAAAATTCAACTGTTTCCTTCTTCTTTGCCAACTATGTATTAGTACAAGAAGTAGGGAAGGCCCAGGAACACTTAGTAAGTGCCTAACTTTGTTCAACAACTGCAGATTAAACAGGGAGTTGTGCTTGCCTGAGAGGCTGCTCTGATCAGATAACCCTGCCAGACCCTTATGTTTATGCTTCTGTGATTTTAGGAATCCAAATTAAAGAAACAATAATGACCTCAGGAAAATAATATCGAACAACTCTATGGAGACTCATTTTCTTGAAGTCACAATAATGACCTCAGGAAAATAATATCAAACAACTCCATGGAGACTCATTTTCTTGAAGTTTTTTCCTTATATTCATTTTGCCCATTCCTGTGCTACTTCCATGTTTCCCCTCCTTGTGCTTATATTCATTTTGCCCATTCCTGTGCTGTTTCCATGTTTCCCCTCCTTGTGTATCAGCTGATGTATACGAATGTTCCCCAGAAGTGATTTCTGAAGGTAGATTTTAATCATTATACCAAAAGTGTTTGCATCCTTGCTCAATTGGGGAACAGCAAAAGTACCATGTACTGTGACTCATTTGACCAATTATCACTAAGCAGAAAAAAATGTCATTTTAGGCCACTCACTATGAAGCCATAGAGTAAACAAGTCTTCACTTTACTTGGATGAATTCTGGTAATGGATAAATATTGGGAAGTTGCAACTTAAAGATACTTCGCAAATAGAAAAAAAGGAATGTTACATTACGTAATGGATTACAGATGAATAATTCTACTTTAAAATTTATTTACATCACACACAAGAAGAAGTGAAAAGAAGGCATTACAAAAATAATGGTCTACATTTTCTTCAAAGGCTTTGAGGTGCCCCCATTTTTTACCTGTGAGCTTCAGAGGCATTGAAGGGATGAGAGTGACGCATGAGCACTCCTGGAAATGAGACCCCTCAGAAGTGTCTCAAATTGGGCAGCAAAAGTTGCTATTTAATTTGGAAAACTCTTGCTGGGCATAGGACCATTTTAATAACTCCTCATTAAAACTCAGTGACAGGAAGGGATCTGTGTTTTTTCTGCAGCTCCAGAAAGATGAAGAGAACAGCTGGAGAGCAGGGAAATTAACACTGACTGGAAAAAAAAGAAGAGAAAGCTGAGCAACCAGTGACAGAGGCTTGGATGAGGAATAAAATGTAGATTAACTAAATCCCCAGTGAGATGTAACCTTGATTAATTTCATTCCCACCCCTCTTCTATGCTAGCTGTAGCAGCTATAGCCAACAGCAGAGTCCAGAGACGTTTGCTGGGGTGGGGACCTGCAGATGAGATGAGGTGAGGTGATACCTGCACCCTCTCCCTGCTGACACTCTCCTCTTGTTTCCCTGCACGTGCAGGTCGTTTACTTTACTGCCACCTTCCCGTACGTGATGCTTGTTGTCCTGCTGGTGCGAGGAGTCATGCTGCCGGGGGCTGCCGAGGGCATCATCTTCTACCTCAAGCCAGACATTTCCAGGCTGGCAGACCCACAGGTGGGGGGTGGTCAGGCAAATGCTGGCCACAAGAATATTTGCAGTGTACTGGTCTTTGGATCTGCTGCTAGCTGAGAGTCTAGCTGTCTTCTCTGAAAGGAGACCAGAGAACCAGAATCCGTAATACTGCTGAGGGGTTCTAGTCCCCCTGCACAGCCCAGCTTTTTTGCCTGTGCTGTGCAGCATATGGGCATGTGAGGTCATTGCACGGGCTCAGCAAAACTGGAAGGGTGTATTCAGCATGTAGCAGATGGCTTCCTGACTGTTAAATGCAGATAATTAAGGGAAGGTGTATATAATCTACCAATTTCCAGTTTTTCTGGCCTGCTTAGCACTTTGTTTGGCTCCAACTCTGCCCTTCCAGAGAGTGTGGGGTCCCTGTGCTTGCAGAGACCAAATGCACACATGCAATGTGGGCTGTGCTCCAGCCAGGCAGCAGGTTCCCTTCACATGCCCTGGGGCTGGTCCCACCTGCCTGTGTCAGGGGCTGGCCAAAGGGTCAGTCTCTGACACCACTCATGGGAGCTCATGGAGATGTCCCCTTGCCCCTGGCAAGGAGGATGGTATGCACCCAAAGCCCAGTTTAGGGTAGAGGGTGGAGGCAAACCCAGGACCTGCAAAGTAGCCTCAGTTGGCAGATGTGGGAAACACCCTTGGGTGCACAGGGCAGGCTGCAGGACCCTCCTTGGGGGACCCCTTGGGATTTCTGCTCTCACACCTTTCTGTAGCAGTAGTTTGCTTTCCTTCCCCATGTGGGTCCAGCAATGCCCAGGGAGGTGTTATGCAGACCCCTGCCCCAGAAGACCATTTAAATGATACTGCTGTTAATTATTCCACCTCTGAATCTTTTTATGGAGGCAGCCAAGCAATAAGCTTAGCCCACAGTCTCATCAGACCTTCCACATCTTCCCAGACATCCAAAGTCCCAACTGCTTCCTAACCAGCTGCCAAATGCCCTTGTCCCCCAAGTGGCTTTCAGACGCATCTATGTGTTGCCAATACAAATCTGTAGTGCACCGAATGCAAAATGCCCACTGGATGCAAAAATCCCACTGAACAGAAATGGCATTTTAATATCAAAACAATTAACAGAGGGTTGACTGGGGCTGAGTCTGTTTTATTCATGGCCAGAGCTTATTCACTGAAAACCTCCCTATCTTTCACAGCCTAACTAAAGCTGACATAGCCTTTCCAGGAATGAGATCTAGCTACTGAGTTTAGGCAGAATGTGAGGCTTTGGTTAAAGTGGGATGTGTGTCCATGACTAAAGGACTCCTGTGTACGTGCCTATCTGTGAGAAATCCATGTGGATTTAAGCAGCAATGCCTGGGCTGGGATTCTTTGAAGGCTACCAAATTCCAGTTGCCTGGATGTTTGTACTTGGGGTCTGCTTAGAGGAAAAACAGAGCGAGCAGGGAACCTGGAGATGATCAGAAAGGTGGGCTACTTCCCTGCCTGCCTGCTGGCTCATGCTCAGGGCTGTCCCTGGGAGCACGTGGGAGCAGAGCTGCAGCTCAGCCTATAGTTCATCTCCTCCACAAAGGATACGGCTGGAGCAGCATCAAAGAAGCCCACTCAGCTTTTCCCATGCAACTCCAGAGGAAACAGAAACCTGGGTTCATGACACCCCTCTGGCCTACAATATCTCAGCCTGGCAATTTTCTTATCTTCACCCTGCACCGTGGCCTCAGAGATGTCGTAAACTAGATAGGGGAGCAGGGAAGGGACTGCATTGATCACTAATCACAGTCTCATTTGGGGTGACTCACCAGTGGCTCTGCAAACTCTGGGCCACATAAGGACCACAGACATCTGTGATGTCAGCTTCAACTGGAGCCATGATATCATGGATGCCATCTCTATCCTGAGTGCAGAGGCACAGGATGGAGAAGGATGGTGTCACCTCGAGTGGTGAAATTACGGTCTCCTCAGGAGACTTTTCCTAGAGGATTTCCAGTTCTATAGCTTAGTTTTCCCAGGGCACTACCCAGTGTACAGTCACTGGTCCCCTCTCTGTCTCACAGGATTTGTTCTCCATGGATGGAAGGGTTGTTGTTGGCAGGGCGCAGCCATTTGTTTATTTTGTTGCCAGGTATGGAGACTACTGCCTTTCTCTGTTCCAGGTCTGGATGGATGCAGGAACGCAAATCCTCTTCTCTTACGCCATCTGCCAGGGTTGCCTGACAGCTCTGGGCAGCTACAACAAATACAACAACAACTGTTACAGGCAAGACTAGACTCCATGTATCCTGCTGGAAATTTGCTCAGACAGCACAGAGCCACATCAGAAGCAGGCTCTGTCCCTGGGGGAGTCCTGGGGTCATGCTGCTTTGGCTAACAAGCTGCTTAGAGTGCAGAAGTTGCAGAGGACTCAGTATAGGGATGGAGAGTGGCTGAGGGAACAGAGGAGCTCCAGAAAAAGGCTTTAATACTACTCTCCTGCATGAGTCACCTTGGAAGCGGGAGAGGGAGGAGGGGGAGGAACGAAAATGGAGAGTGTCTCCAGCCCCTGTGGAGACACCACAGTCTATTTTGACAGGGTGAGTGGGAGGGGATAACACAGCCAGCTCTGCCGTCACTTGCTAGGCAGGGGAGGTGGTACAAACAGGATGGCTGGGCCCTCTGTCTCCAGGGCTTTACTAGCACCAGGCTAATATACTGCCAGTCGCCTTTTGATCCTATCGATGTGATTAATCAAGTCTGTCTGGCCTTCTCCTTGCCCTTGGATTAGAGATCTGTTTTATCCATGGCCTGACATGGAGCTCGGTGAAGCCATCAGGACCATTTCTGACACCTTCCACAGAGCCCTGACAAGCAGGGGCTTTGTTATTCCTTCACATATTGCTCCAGCACAGATGGGAAAACGGAACTGTACTTGTGAGACATCAATCATCTCTCCTGTTCTCCAGTAGGTGCTGCCACAGCTGTTGGTCAGGCAGTTAATACTTTTCCCTGGCTCTCCCAAAATGGGTCTGTCACCAACGGAGTGGTGTGCTGACACCTTCCTCTAATTCCTTAGGTGCCTTATGCTGGCAGCTTAGCTCTGGGTGGCCCAAATGCAGTGGGTGTACACAGTGCCCCACAGGAGCTGATACTGTGGGTCAGCTCTGGCAGCTGCCCAGGCAGAATCAATCCCAGGGTGTGAGACTTCCAGCCCAGCCAGCTCAGACTGGTGCCCCATTTTTGCAGGGAGCAAGTGCACAAATATTTCAGGACAAGTATCATAGCATGTTCCAGCTGTCATCTGAGCATAGTTAATAAAGACAGTGTAGACACGACTCTTGTCAGGTGAGAATTTTTGTGCTGAGCTGAACTTGTATGAGTTCATGCTTTCAGATACTCCTCTTGCTCGACTATGCTTACTTTTGCAATGTCTTTCCTCTTCTGATTTTCTGTTTTCCTCATTTTCTCTGTTATTTTTCCTATTCTCTTGACTCTTGCCAGCTTTTTTGTTGCCATGTCCCTGTGTCTTTATGTCATCCTATTCACAAGCCACTGGTGATGACCGCTGAACTTGTATGAGTTCATGCTTTCAGATACTCCTCTTGCTCGACTATGCTTACTTTTGCAATGTCTTTCCTCTTCTGATTTTCTGTTTTCCTCATTTTCTCTGTTATTTTTCCTATTCTCTTGACTCTTGCCAGCTTTTTTGTTGCCATGTCCCTGTGTCTTTATGTCATCCTATTCACAAGCCACTGGTGATGACCCATTCTCCCTCTGTGCCATTTATAATCCTGTAACTCTTGAACAGTAGGGTAGAGGGTAGGTAGGCTGATTTTTGGCTCTGCTCTGAGCTTTTTACTTCTGAGGGGGTTCAAGAACAACATTGCTGTTTCTTAGTTAATGCTGTCCAGTGAGGGAAGCTGAGTACAGACATGATCCCAAGTGGACCCATTCTGCAGCAGAAAACACCAATTTCTCTCTGGTCTCCCCCCTGCAGGGACTGCATCATGCTCTGCTTCCTGAACAGTGCCACCAGCTTCGTTGCTGGCTTTGCCATTTTCTCTGTGCTGGGCTTCATGGCTCGAGAGCAGGGTGTGCCCATTGCAGAAGTGGCTGAATCAGGTAGGTTTTTCTGAGAGACTTCAGAGCCAAGGGAAAACAGAAAACCTGAAGGGGAAGGATTTTTCTGAAGTGAAGCCCAAGATGTTATCTACATCCTCTATTGCAATGGTGTTTGCAGAGAGATCTGTGGGACTAGTGCTCCTTGACACAGATTTCAGCCCTGTGTGTGCAAGGAGCTTTGGCAATATGAACTTTGAAGACATATGTGAGCTTGCTCTGTGCTGCAAGGTGGTAGTGGCAGGTGCTGGTGTGGGGGCACATGTGGTCATCCTGTGGTCTGTTGGCAGGTCCTGGCCTGGCTTTCATAGCATATCCAACAGCAGTAACGATGATGCCTGTGTCTCAGCTCTGGTCCTGCCTCTTCTTTCTCATGCTGATCTTCTTGGGACTGGACAGTCAGGTACAGCAAATGCTCCTCCTCATCTAACACCTAGGTGCCTGTCCCCACCCTGAGCACTCCCCATGGTCATTGGAAAGCGTAAGATGGGTCTGTGCTTTGCTGGACCTTAAACATGTTCTTCACATTGTACACAGCACTTTCACACTGAGGGAGCTCAGAGCCAGGGCCAATGGCAGGCCAGTGGTTACATGTGTTGGCATCTCTGCTGGCATCCTTCTTCCTGTGTGTGGGTGAGGGTGTCCTGGCTACATCCCCTCCCATCTCTGCCAGCAGGAAAACCATGCACACTGCAGAGTGAGGCCTGGCACAGAGCAGGGCAGTTTGGCAAGGGGAATGGGGCCGTTCTCTCCCAGCTGAATCCTGCCAGAGTGATCCTTTTGTACTTTCTGGTGTGCCCATCTCATACCATTCTATACCCCCGTTATGCCAGGAACAACACCTAGCAGAACACCCCACAGCATGTAGTGTGCAACCCTGGAGTGCTGGCACAAGGGCAGCAGGGCTGTCCTGGAATGTCCCCCAGGCAGGGTGCCCTGCTCTGCAGCACCTCAACCCCTGTACCTGGAGAATCAGGACGTTCCTCCCTGTTTCGGCTGACTCTTGGTGGAAGCGAGACAGATGAAAAGCAAAAACAACAAAATAAGGTTAGGGTGGCTGGAGGAAAAAGGGACAGTGAGAGTAAGTGTGTGCTTGAGGAAGGGGAGACACTGATTTTTTCTGGCCTGTTTTCACCTGCAGTTCGTCTGTGTGGAAAGCATGGTGACAGCTATTATTGACATGTTCCCAGGAGTGTTTCGGAAGAAGGGACGTCGGGAGCTGCTGATCCTGGCCATTGCAATCATATGCTACCTGCTGGGCTTATTGCTGGTCACTGAGGTAAGAAAGAAGAGGCTGGGTTATATAGCTGAGCATCAAAACCCCTGCTAGGCAGCTCTCAAGGTCTGGGTGGAGACAGCAAGCTCATCTTTGATGCTGTTAATCATCCTTCATTTCTAATGCATTAGCTGGTGTCTCCCACAGCCAGTGTTGCTTTGACCTTGTGTGATGCTGGTGCACTCTTTGCATAACTGAGCCTTCCAGGGAGTCGGTCCCACTTGCCAAAGAGGCTGTCTGACATAAAGCTTTGTGCAAATACCAGACCTGATAGCTAAAACAAGCTGAGCTGTTTGAAAACAAGCTCATCTAAGGGCAGTGATTGTTTGTTGGCTGCTTTCCACACAAAGCAGAGCAGCAGGAGGGGAGCCTGGGTGTTACAGCTGCACTGTAACCCTGCCTGAGCCCATGGGAAGCTTGTAATCCCAAGGAGCAGTAGGAGCAGTGTGTCAGTGCTGTGCTATGTGCATGGTGTTCACACTGCTCTGCAGCTAACAGCCAAGCACTTCTTCTACAGTGCTGTGCTGTACTGTGCTCTGTGTGCCTACTGCGTGCTTGGGTGGGGCCTTAGCACTGCCCCGTGCTTCCTTCATGCATGCTGTAGTGACAGCTAAGTCCTGCTAAACCTCCTAGGCACTGATGAATGATTATCCAACAGGATCCTGGCTAAGGATCTGCTGTAGGCACCTCTCACTGCAATCAATTTGAGTGAAACTGCTTGTCTAGAGCCCTTCAGCACTATTTGAAAGTACCTACTTGACTTGGAAGGACTTTCTCTTTGAGAAATCACATGCAGGTCATTCCCTGACCGGTACAGGCAGCTCATGGCAGCTCCACAGTGCTCAGCTCGAAGGCAGAGGCAGCAGGGAAGCCACGTGCACCTGTCATTGCACAGCTTGGACCTTGAGCATCATGTAAAGCTGTATGAGGGTAAAATGAGGTATCTGAATATCCTGGTGCTCAAGATTCCAATTTCTTGGGTGCAAATTTCTGCACTCGTACATGGTATTTTTAAATTATGCTGGAAACTTGCTAACAGATTTAAAACCAGCAAACAGATTGATTCCTGCTCCTATGGACACAGAAACCTGCCTAGCCCAGCAGTATCATAAAATGGTAAGGAAATATCCTCCTGCCACCAGGCCTGACTGTCTTTTTAGGACAGAGTGGGGGCAACCCCAAGAGAAGGCTCTTCTCCCACCTGCTCTAGATTCAGTGTTTCTGCTGCTATTCGTCTGCTTGCCTCACTCATTTTTCCCTGACATGGAATAGTCTTGTCAAGGCTCTGTCTTCTCTACCTCTCCAACAGGGTGGGATGTACATCTTCCAGCTCTTTGACTACTATGCTGCCAGTGGCACATGCCTGCTCTTCTTGGCCATTTTTGAAGTCATCTGTGTAGGGTGGGTGTATGGTAAGTGGAGGACAAAAGTCTGCTTTGCTCTTTCTCAAGGGAAGAATAGGGGGGTTTGGAAATGGGATTGGACAGAAAAGATCCTTAGGGGGAAAAGAAATGCTGTAATTACCCTCTTTCTTGTCTGATTTTCACTGTTTCCTTGCAACATTTCTTAATTGCTCCACATTTAGAGTGGGAATGGTTTTTCCCTCTGTGAAGTTTCCCCATGTTAACTACCTTGCTGTTCTTCCCATCTGCCCTTTGTATTAGAAAATCAGCTATAGAGGGGTGACTGCTGTTCTCTGGGCTCTTTCACTGTCTGCCTACACTGTGCCTTTAGTTTAGTCCTGCCAGTTAATTTAACCCAAAATGCTGGGATGTTGACTTGCCGTGTCACTCCTGGGCTGATACACTCTTCCTGTTTACAAGGCTGTGATGGCACTCCTAAAAGAAACAGGATGGACTGCACTGGTTCTCAGTAAAGTCTGTAACTAAACTACTCAGGAGTAGGATTACACCCAGCTCCATGAACTATCATGAGAAAACCAACTGCTTGTTAGTGTGTGCAGTAAGAAGAGTATCCTCTGATATCCTATGGGAGATCACTTCCTGAGCACTGCAACTGCAGTTCATCTCCCTGAAGATTCCATTGAGGCTGATGGTTTTTGGGCAAAGAGTCTAGTTGTGTGTGATGCAGAGCAGCTGCTCTCTTTCCTTAGCTCCATGGAGCTGCACAAGCTTGGTACCTGTAAGGATCATGTAGAGCTACACTAGATGCCAGCTTAGACCAGACCCTACATCCCACAACTACATCAAGCAGCATTGCCTAACTAACTTAAGGAAAAGACTGCAACACATCATATTGTGTCTCAGTGGTCAGGAGTGGATACTCAGGAAGGAGTACAGTAGCAGAAAAATTAGGAATGATACTTTCTGTGAAAGTTCTTCCAGCTTTTAACAACTTGTAGAACCATAGAAAGGTTTGGGTTGGAAGGGACCTTTAAAGGTCCATCCTCCCTGCCACTTTCCACTAGATCAGGTTGCTCAAAGCCCTGTCCAACCTGGCCTTAAACATTTGCAATGGTATTGCATCCACAACCTCTCTGGGCAACTCGTTTCAGTGTCTCAGCACCCTCATAGTAAAAAATTTCTTATATCCACTCTAAATCTACCCTCTTTCAATTTAAAACTACAAGTCATGTCACTTCAAGCCCCCTTTATATACTGAAAGTCTGCAACACGGTCTCCCTGCAACTTTCTCTTGTCCAGGTTGAACAGCCCAAATTCTCCCAACCTGTCTTCATAGGAGGTGCTCCAGTCCTCTGTTTCTATGGTCCTTCTCTGGACCCACTGTGACAGGTCCATATCTTTCCTGTGCTGGGGGTCCTAGAGCCAGATGCAATACTTTGCTTGTTGCCCAGGGATTTCCAGAGACAGAAGACAAATCTATTTATTTCTCTTCCATTAATTTTTCCAGTTGACTCAAAAGTATTTATCATCCACAAAATGCTGCAGCAAGGAACTCCATGGCTTACTTAGGTGTTATGTGAGGAGTCACTCTCTTTTCTATGCTTTGAATGTGCCATCTGCTAATTTCATTTGATGCTACCTTCGCCTTGTTACAGACAGTCAGTCCATGGGTGCTTTCTTTGGTGTTTACAGTTTTATAGAGGTTGCAGTGGCTGCAGTTCAGTTGCTGATGAAGGGGTTGTCAGTTTCTCCAATTGCTTTATGCATAGCAGGAGCCAATTGCTAGTCTGGATGAATTCCTCTCTTACTGAAATGGTAGCCAGTCCAGCTACCTGGCCTTGACTTCCTGGGAATGTAAGAGAAGCAGATCTGGAAAACAGATTAATTTTTGAGAGACATCGTGCAAGGGAAGCTCATCTGACAGCTTGCAATACCAGACTTTGGCCAGGTTTTAATTCAGAGTCACCTTCTGCCCAGTCCTTCTGGGATTTAAGGGGACATGGAGATCCTCATCCTTCTGTGACAGGGCTTCATTATCACCATGCTAGGTTAACTCATTAAACTAAGTTATGCTTTAACGTATGGAGCCCCCGTGCCATGTATGGACACAGGCCACATGCCATTTCCAATGACACATGGAGAAGAGCCAGGCAGACAGTGAGCAGCAGGAGAGGTGATGCTGCCCCAGCAGCCTCAAGGGGAGACAGGGTAGCTGGGGATAGAGAAATGGCCCTTCCCCTCACCACCACAGGTTCATTTGTCCCTCTCCACACAGCAGGATTTTACCCTCTTGATGTCCTTCTTTGTATCCATTGGGATGATTTTGGACCAAAATGTAGTCAGAGGGCCAAGGTGAGGTATCATAGTGGGAAAACAAATGTGCCCGGCGCCAATCAATGTTTTTTTTTCCCCAGGACCATAATTGGCAGGGCTGAGCTTCTTGCTTATACTGTGAAGAATTACACCATTTCTGCTAACACAAATAGGCCTTCTGAGTTTCCCCTCTCCCAGCACATATGCCAGCCACCCACCACTTGGCAGCTTCCCCCTGCAGCTGCTCTTGCAAAGACCTGAGGGTTTCCTTGGGTACTGCGCTCTGCCTGTGAAAGGATTGTGCAGCATTGGACCTGCTGATCATGTTCCCTAGAGGGGAGTGCTGGAGGGATTCTCATTTTTTTTTTCTCCTCTTTTCCTACCACTTTGGGACAGGCAACCCTTCCATAAGCAGGCATGGGTTTGGAGCACTGGGATTCACAACACGATGCCACTGAAACGTGCTGCAGAGAGGCTGTTTTCCGGGCAGTCACAGCATGCACGTTAGGATTAGCTAGCTGTTCCAGGAGAAAGTGAGCACATCCATCACTACAGGAGAGCCAGGGCTGAAATCATTAGGACTGTCTACAAAGCTAAAGCAAACTGATGCCAGGGGTACCTGTGGGTGGCCCCAGGGTAAACCTGTGTTGTGCTGCGCCAAGTCTTTCTGCAGTTCTATTGCTCACACCCAGTGGCTGCCAGGAGCAGCAGCCTCCTCTGCCTGGGTTCTGGCTGTCAGGCTTGCTCTGGCTTTGTGTGCTTTATGCTCTCAGGTGCACTGACTGCAGGCAACCTTGCATGCCTATTTGTGGACCATAAGTGGCCTTCTCTGTGCACCTGGTCCCCACAGGATGCACAGGGGTTGCAGTGCCACGGTGCATCTGCTGCAGGCACAGATGCAAAAGGTGTTGATGCTGCAGGTTTGAGACAGAAGGAGCAGACACAAGCTTAGCACTATGGCATCACTATAGGTTATCACCTATTGAAATGCTGTGGATTAAATTGGATATAGATGAATGCAAATAAATGCAGCTTGAGAGAAAAGACAGGGATTTTCCATAGATTCCAAACTAACAGACCTGTGAAACTCACTGCTTTTTTGAATATTGTAAAAATAAAATTACATTTTTGGCCCTTTCAGTCTGGGTATCACTTGCAGTAGTTATAAACTACATAAAATGAGAAGGACTCCCAAGGATGAGCCACAAGGACGTAAGCAGATCTCTAGTTGGGTTAATGTGAAATTCATTCCAATTAATTTATGTAGCAAAATTAAAGGATTTGTCAGGAAAGTGTGCAACCATTTTGAAGGTATATGGGATCGATCAGCACAAGCATAGTGGTACCAGCATAACTGTCCTGTGCCTGCATACCATTCTTCCTTGTCTTGGGATCTTGGGGATAACAGCAAACATCTTTGTTCGTTCCAAGAAAAGTCTCTGTGTTTTTCTCTGCAGGAGCTTTATCTAACTCTTCTGATGTGCTGGGAAGGAAGGGCATGTTCCTCCAGCACATCCTCCAGCTTCTAATTTGCTCAAAAAGCCAATATTGAGCGATTGAACTGATTTTTAAAATTTTTTTAAATGACTTCTTAAGCTTGATTACTTTTTCATCTGCCTGTGAAACATAGAATACATAAAACCTCCTGTTCATACACTCTCTGAGGATACTCATGTCAGTCCCCATTGTGTTTCATCACATCACCCACTGACTGCCACAGTGGACATGCAAATGCAAGACCTGATGGTTGTAGCACAGAGAAAAGGAGTAAGGACAGGTGGATGCACATTGTAACTAACACCGTGAGGTTTGGATTGTTCTCTTGGTGAAGGATGGGTGTGTGTGTGTTCTTCTTTCTGTCTGGCATCTTTGTATTTCTTTAATTGATATGTCTCTTTGATTAGATCTGAAATGCAAATGTGCAGGGAAACTTTATCTGCCACAAAGTTGTATTATGAGCTAATTTATCTGTCACATGCCTGACATCACAGTGTGTTTCTGTGGAAACACTGTATGCTATAAGGTAATGTGCTGTGCTCATATTCTAAACTGCAATTCATATAATTTGTATCTCCTTTTTTCCACCCTGTAGAAGATTCTGGCTTTTTGGCAAAATGAATTTTACATACCATCTCCTTTCATCCCCAGAATATTTTCAGAAATGCTATCTGAAACCTCATGATATTTACAGCTTGAAAGTTCTCGGGTGTAGGCTGGGCTCCCACACAAGGCTATATGTCCCTTGATATGCCACAGCTTGTTGTCTTTGCTTGAGGCTACTTGTTAACTCGCCAACTCAGCTCCATGAGGTGTTCAAAGAACTACCCCCCCCCAGCTTAAAAACTTCAAAAGGATGGGTTTAAAAGAGATTTTCTGCAAGCATTAGTCATGGGATATAGAAAATAATGCAAAAGAAAGAAAAGCACACAAAATGTGCTTTTGTGGAATGAATATATTTAAAGAAAACATAATATGAGAATTCTGAGACATAAAACCACAAGCCAAAATACAAATCACCAAACCCAAAGCACTCACAAGTGTGGCCAGTTCTCTAGGCATGTATTGTGCCCAGTTTAGTCTTCTGGTGTTAAGATGCAAAGAACCAGTCTCATCATGCTTGCAGGTGGGAACCATGGCATGACAATGAGTTCACAGATAGACACCCTTAAAAGCAGAATCCTTCTTTATTAGCTAAGCACCATGATAAAACTTCAATGAGACAACTACAGTATTATTTCATCCCAGAGGTACTTAACTGGTACCCCTTTTTCTGGACAGACTAGCTCCATGTTTTTGCCCAGTATAGTTGCTCTATTTCACCTGAGGCTGTCTAGTATAGTATCTCTGCAGACTAGCTCCATGTTTTTGCCCAGTATCGTTGCTCTATTTCACCCGAGGCTGTCTAGTATAGTATCTCTGGTTAGCTTTGGTTTGGTAGGTGTTAGGGCATCTGATGTATGACTTTTTGATTTTTCTTCATTTGAAATTTCTCTCTGGCCAACATTAGGCTCTTGATTCTTGAAGACATCCTAGAGTTTATTATAAGGTCTGCTGAAGCCCATCTGCATTGCATTGTTGCCTCTATATGACATTGCATACATTTCATCTGTGTGCCTTGGGCTGGGAAGAGTCAATGGTCATGGTCTAGTCAATGGCAGTACTTTTAGGTGCTTTTCAGAGGTACATCTCACTCCAGTGCACCATGGAATTCAGGTGGGTCCCACATACTCTGAGCAACATAATCTAGTAAGTGAAACTACTGAGAAGAGAAGCAGCTCATGCTCCCAGCAGACAGCTCTCACTGGACAGTACAGAAGCCCTTGCAGATGGAAGGTTTGTTTTCCAGAAGAGTTTGGACTGCCAGGTCTTCTGAGTTTGCACCAAAGATAAAATATTCTGTGGAAGGCAGGCTCTTGAGGACAGGGGTCATGCCCAGCTCAGTGGGGTTTCTTGATATGACTTCCCTGGTATAGCAGCATATCTGTTTACAAAGAGAGGGTTTTGTTACTCTCCTTGTTCCTTTTGGCACTCTGGACTCAGATCGCCCCATATCCGCAACCTGCAGGAGCTTCCCCTTGCTGGTGTGTAAACCAGGCATCCTTCCTTTCCTTGTGCCACTCCTCACCAGTTCATTGGCTGCATCCTCCCACTTACAGCTGCTGCTGTCTGACAGACTGTGCATTTCTTCAATGTCAAGTTTATGACAACTTACAGATGAAACTTAAAACCTCCATCTCTATTTAGCCACAGATAAATGCCAGAAAACCCCATTGCCTGCTGCTCTATTATTTGGATAGCCATGTTTTCACCAGGAGTAAACACCGAGGATAAAGAAAGTTGGGATCTGATGTGAATAGTGGTTGAAGGAAACAGCAATCTGACCTCTGACTTTGTCTCTGTGATGGTTGGTGACCAAGGTGCCAACCGCTTCTACGACAACATTGAGGATATGATTGGCTTCCGGCCGTGGCCCTTGATCAAGATATGCTGGCTGGTGTTCACCCCGGGTCTGTGCTTGGTGAGTGCAGTTGTGACAGCATGGCACGTTACTCTGCAAGTTCTTGCCTGTTTTGTGTTTATGTCCTGTCTTGCTCCATTGACTTTTACATGGTTTCTGAGCCAAATTCTGCTCCTACATCTTATGTTGAGAGTTGTTTTCTTTGACCTCAGTGGGAACACAGATGGAATCTATAGCTACAACAAATTCCTAGTCCTTCATCCTCAGGCTCCAGCAGGACTTGAATATCAGGGAAATTTCCAAACCAGGCTTGAGCCAGCCCAAATCATCTAAGAGCTCTGTAGCTAGAGAGACCCAGGAGGGCTAAATCTGTGCCCACATGGTACTTCTGGAGGGCTTCTGCCACAGAGAACAACAATTCCTGGCTTTGATATGCATAAATTGCTGTCTTAGTGTTGCTGGACCCTCAAAGCTGCTGCCAACTTGGTTTAGGTTGAACTCATAGGAAGCCTGAAGGCTTTACACTGCAGAGACTCCTGCCCTTGGCTCTGAGATAACTCCTTGTGCAGACAACATGCACCAAGCTCTGCCTTGATGCAGGTAACAAGGTCCATGTTAGCTCATGCAAGACAGTACCCTCATTGCCACCCAGTCAGTCCTTGCAGGGTGGCCAGGCTTGGCTGCTCCCTTTGCTCTTGTTATATCTGTGTTTTCTGCTCCTCAGGGTGTCTTCCTGTTTTCCCTGATCAAGTACACCCCCTTGAAATACAACAACTCCTACGTGTACCCACCCTGGGGCTACACGGTGGGCTGGCTGATGGCACTCTCCTCCATGGTCTGTATTCCTCTCTATGCCATCTTCATCCTCCTGAAAACCAAAGGATCCCTGAAGCAGGTACTGGGATTGTGGTCACTGGGCATGTTGCTGTTGCTTCCCCCAGATGGCTCATGGAAGGGCCCCAGGGAAGGTACACGTAGCACATTTCTTCTCTGAGAAGGCAAAGGAGGGTGTGAGTGGCCCTTCCCTGGAATGCTCTGTAGCTCTTGTTGGCAATTTGGAGGGCTTGGAGCATCTCAGCACAGCTCCCAGGGTGATCATCAGATGACCAGAGTCTTCTATAAGGTGTCACACCATCATGCTTTGTGTAATAAATAGACATATATAGATATATATGTAGTATCTATTCAATAGGTACCAGGGTAAACCAGGTGCAAAACCAGGATTTGGGTAGAGAGAAACCTCATGAGATTCAGCAAGGGCTAGTGTAAGGTGCCACACCTGGAGAGGAACAGCCCCAAGGCCCAGTATAGGCTGGGGGCTGATCTGCTAGAGAGCAGTTCAGAGAAGGACCTGGGAGTCTTCATGAGTGACAAGCTGACTATGAGCCAGCAGTGTGGCCTTGCTGCTGGGAGGCCCAGTGGTATCCTGGGGTGCATCATGATCCTTGCCCTAGTGAGGCCACATCTGGAGTACTGTGTCCAGTTCTGCACTCCTCAGTACACAACAAGGATCCCTGTGTCTGTGGTGTAGGTGTGACAGTCACACTGTGAAGTCATGGAGAGCTGGACCCTGCACTGCCAGCATAGCCAGGGATGGGCTGGGTGCAAGATGTCCTCATAGGCTCCATTGTCTCAGGCAAGATGAATCTGTGCCCAGTTAGGGCTGAGAGGTGTCTCTTTTTGCTGGCTGGGTGATGTGTCTTAGTAGAGAGACAGAAGTTGTGGCAGAGCTGTGTAATGCCCATGTCAGACTCAGGAGAAGATAAAGTACAAGGCCCAGATGGGAATGGTAGTGATAAGTCTTCAGTAAAACAGTGAGAGGGGCATAAACCATGCAGGCAGGAAGGTAGAGGAGAAGCATGATGCTCTGAAATAGTTCCTGTTTAGCTGCCTTTGACCTTGAGCCCTCCTGGTCATGATTACGAGTTAGCAAGGGAGCTGAGAACTGTACACCTCCCAGCATGAGGAGCTCCAGGTGAATCTTGTGCCAAGGTGCTGTGGTATGATTTGCTCTAAGTTCAGACCTCAAGTCCTGCCTCTTATAGCCCTCTCATGTGCTTGGGGCTATTTAGCAGTTCTGCATCAGTAGTTTCCCATGGGTGGTTTGAACAGTTTGACTGCGGCTGTCATGTCTGACACCCCACAGCTCACAGGTTTTACAGGTCAAAATGAGGGCTTGGAGCTGTCAGCGAAGTAATTGCCCACATGTCCTGCCTGCTACACAAGCAGTATCTCTCACCAGTGGCAAAGTGCTTCAAGCTCTTGGACTGAAATGCTGCTGTGAGTAGTGTTAATGTTTATTGTAGAGCACACCTGAAGAATTGAGTTTGGCCTGTTTCAGATGGAGGACTTTTCTGTTTGCCCTGGCTTAAATGATATTAGTTGTCATTTCCAGGGACTTTTCAGTTACATGAAGAAACTCCCAAAGATGTGGTTTAAGTATGTGGGAAGGATCAGCTGCTAAACTTGGGCTGATTCAGAGCAGAACCAAAGACAGCCACATGATACCTCCTGGAATAGTTGCACCTGTTTTGAAAAGAAGTTTTCTCAAAACATACCTGTTATCTTTTTCCAGTCACACCCCAGAAATGTAGTGGATTAATTTCCTGACACAGATGCTTCCAGGAACACTGCCTTTCAACTGAAACCATTCACTGAAAGCAAGTTTGTAACTGGTAATTATGATCAGTCACTGCAGAAAACTGATTCCTCTTGTTACACTTGACTGACCAAGAAACACAAATGTTGTTTCCTAATGTGTCTGATTAAGACAGCTCAAGCTTCAAAGACTGAAAACTCACAATGAACTGCTCACAGAGCAGCTGCAGACCAAGGTCAGTTTCAGAAATCATGGGGCAAATAGTTTTGAATAAATGAACAAAATCTGTGATTCTGGCAGGCACCTTACAAGGAGTGGGAGCACTAAAATAAACCCAACGTGTCATGGATGAATTGCCTGCTCTGCTTGTGATGCACTCTGTGAGGGAGGAGCATGCACTGCCCTGGACAGCTTGTGATGGACAGTTAGTAACTATAAAAGTCAGGTTTCAGTAGGGAAATGACATGCTGTCCCATGGAGCCTGGCAGGTAGCTGTGGGACATCGAGTGCTACTTGGCTTTGGAAGGAGAGCAGGAGTTCAGGAAGGTGTGCAGCTCCAGAGGGGCTTCAAAAATGGGATAAGAAAGACCAGAAATTCACAGCAGCTGTCCCTGTGAGCCTGCACTTTTTTCCCAAAGAGCTAGAAGGTATTTGCATTTTTGAAGAATAAACTCCCCAAAGCTGTCACAACACTGCACACAGGTCTCTGGAACAGCCTGTAGCACCCTGCATTGCACAGGATGGAGGGAGCTAAGGGCAGGCAGCTGCCTTACAACCCCTGTCTTCACCATCGCAGTCTGGCTGGCTGGAAAAGGAGATCTGGGATGGTCTGGGGGCAGGAACCAGTCTAGGGAGTGACTGCTTTACCTGGGAAATGCCACTGAGGTAGGCAACACCTACCACCCTGTTTTGGACCATAGCATGATATGCCCAGCACTTTCTGATGATCAGACCATTTAGAAGGCTCCCACCAAAGTCAATGGGAAGCATGGCTACTTGGTATAGGAAAAAGAAGGGGTTTATGGTGTTTTCTCCAGAGCCACAGAAAATGCCTGTGGTCCTAGTTGCCTGCGTCCTCCTCTGTGAGGAGCCCTGTACCTTGGGTGGTCAGTGCCTGGCCCAGGTTTGACCCCAGAGCCGGGGCTCATCGTCACCGAGAGCAGCTCAAGCAGCCTGCTCCTCTTCCTCCCTCTTCTACAGCTGGTCAGTGGGAGAGGAGCAGGGAGCTGGGAGCATTGGCTCTCTAGATGGCTTTGCCCCCAGAAATGGTTGTGAATCACTAATGGATTCCAGTTTGTTTGTCAGTTTAATCAGCAGAGCCTTCCTCTCCACAGCGGCTCACGCAGCTGGTTTCCCCAGCGGCAGACCTGCCACAGCCGAGGAAGCACACGGCAAGGCTGTGCCAACTGAAGCACGAGGGATGGTCTCCTCCAATCCAGGAGGTGCTCAGCATCACAGAGAGAGAAACCACCTTCTAAAGCACCATGGACATCCTCTCCACAACCCAGACTGATTTGCTCTCTCCTTCCCAAAGTGGTTTCTTTTCCCTCCTGGGCTCTTCCCTTCTCTCCATCACGTCTGAGACAGGAGCATCTGGGACACCCTCTGGTTCCAGCCAGCTGGTTGAGCCTACCAGGGACAGCATTTCTGTTGACACCCTGGGGACATCTCTCCCTGCCACCAGCTGGGAAGGCAACAGCATACTTCCTGTCAGAAGTGTCCTTCAGTGCTGACACTGGTGGGGAAGAGAGAAACAATATAGTAACAAACTACAAAAGGAAAAAGCAAAGGGGCAAACACCACCACCACCCCCTCCCCCGTTCCTGCTGGGAGGAGGAAAAGAAACCACAGTGGGGAGAGAGAGCAGAGATTAAAGGTGTGAAGGAGCCATTAGGGATGCAAAAGCGCAAAATGATGGAGCGTTAGTGCAGGAAATAAGTACGTTGGTTCAGAAGGACATATGCTGGAGGATGACAAGGGAAAGTTTACTTGTAGGTTACCTATGTACCAGAGAGAGAGGGTGCCAAAAGCACATCACAGCCAATGACAGGAGCAGGCTGAAGTGTTAGTAGTTAAGGCTTCAGTTGCCACTGAAAGGGAAGAGAGTCACAGGGTCTCACTGCAATCATAGTTGCTGATGATGGATCTCAAGGAAGTCCCAGGCTGGAAAGAGGGTGACTTGCTCTTGGTCAAAACTACATGGCTCAGTGAAAATGCATCTGAGAGTGAAACCAATGAATGTTTGACAATTCTTTCAGAAAATTCATGGAGTGCAAGAGAAGTCCCAGAGCAGTTGGTAAAAGAAAGCTGGGAGAAATGAGACCCTGGGGACTGCACGCCCACAAATTTAACTACACTGCTGGGGCAGTTTAGGGAGGAATTAATGAAGGAATTGATGGGCCTGATTCTTTGCTGCAAGAGTTGCTTTGGGACGAGGGTGGGGGAGGGATTGCATTCCCTTGGCTTTGCTGCAGATGACTGCTCAGGGGATAAGATATAATTGAGCGCAATAATCATCAGTTCAGGCAAGGTAAAGCATAATTAATAGGTAAGATGGGTTCATTGGAAGCAGATTGCGTCAAGTTGGGGGTCTGTCATTGCCAGGGTAGTCAAAAAATGTGAGGGATGGCTGGGAGGAATCATGCTCGGATGTGGTGTTTGGTGAGGTGCCAGATGGCTCTGCCCTGTGGAGGCTGGGGCTGGAAAACTCCCTGCCAAATCCTGACTCAATGTCTGTCATTATTTCACAGTTAAAACCACAGGAAAAGCCAGTGGCAGCATCCCCCCAGGAGCTTTGCTCTGGTCGAGGGTACACGCGCTGGTGCATGGCTCTTACACATCCAGCCACGCCAGAGAATGGCCATCAAAATGAATCACAGGTGCCACAGGCTCCTTTCCCTTGTGCCTTGTTCCAAGTAATTGCTTTTCCCTGTGCTGTGTGGAGATAAACGGCTCGCACTGAAAGTAAGCAGGAGAATCAGGCCTCATCTGTGCAATTCATACCTATCCCAATTGCTATGGGAACCTTATCTTTTCCAGTTTCCTGTGAGTTTAACTGGAGAATTAGCATAGGGCAATCTTTCACATTTAATTTCCTTTCCTTTAAAAACTAAAAATGGCAAACTGTTGGTGAAATGAACACTGAAATTCAAGTATCAGAATTTGTACCACTCTGGGACTGTTATCCTTGGATTGAAGATTATTTACTGAGGAAGGTGGAGAAAGCTGGCAGACCTCATTCCCATTCCCTGCAAAGGACTGCAGCACCACATGAGACACCATTCGTTAATTTAGATTTTTTTGAAGAGCTGAATGTTGCTGCAGTAGTTGTGGGAAGAGCTTAGTATCCAGAGGCTTGCCGTCAGCCTCAAGGTAAGTAGTCTGGTGTTGTTATCTCTCCCTCCCAGCAATGTTGCTTATGACTTGGTGGGTGGAGCAGCTCCCTTCAGAAGGTCTCTATATGCTGCCAGAACAAAGCCAGTGGCTGCTGCCAAGGAGCAGCAGTCCTGGCACCACCAGGGTGGCACAGCCCAGTCACTGGACCAGGGGGTGGTGGGTGTCTGCTGAGCCATTGCCTCCCTACGCTCAGAGCTGCAGCAGGGCCATGCTCAAGACTTTTGAGTTCAGGTGTGGGCTGCAGCTGTACCCACGGCCAAAATGTTGGTATTGGCTTTGAGAAGGAAACACACGTTCTCTTCTTTGAGTAACAGAAAGTTAAAGGACTGGGACTTACCATTCAGGTTCAGTCTTGGGCATTAGGATGGGTTTCTTGTACAACCCTTTGTAGGACATGTAACCCCTTTGCTCTTGCTGCTGTGCCTTTAAGATGTAAGGTAGTGTCATACTGTCAAAGAAGGCATGGAGATGTGTTCACTCCTTTTTCTGCAGCAGTTGCGTAACACTGTAAATTTCCTAGATAGAAATCAATTTCTTTTCAGTTTTGAGCACAAATGTGGGGCTGTGTTATTGAAAATAAATGCTGCATGAACCTGTTCCTCTGTTGCTTATGTGTAATATGACAGTAGCATCCCAGCTCTGCCAGAAAGCAACTTATTTTAACAAAGTCAGAGGAGGTATTGCTGTCCTTATTGAAAGAAATCACAAAATTTCCAGGATCAGGAAATTAATCCAGTTTCTTTGGATGGGATTGGCAGAGTTTCAGGCATTTTAAGTTGAAGCTCAGTGACCCAGTGCCATTTAATTCCCTTTCCTTAAAAAAGTAAAGTCATCCAGATATACCCAGCTGGGGGACCAGGGGAACATGCCACCAACAGCTGTCTTTTGTGGTGAGACTCCCAGCACAGTGAGAGCCCAAGTAATGATTTGGTAAACTTATACAAAAATCTCAGGCATTGCTGCTTGCATGTGACAGATCTGTCAGGTCTCCATCAGCCCGTGGATTTGGGCACTACTGGAGACCTCTGAGTCTGATGGGAAACTGCTCCCATCCTGCACACCACCAGGGTGTAAAGATACTCCCAAAGGGATGGTACAGAGAAAAGGGAGAGATATTTTTTGCCCCATAATTTTTGATAACATGTCAAGTCATGAAGCTGAAGTCGAAGGGAAGTTACGAGGTGGCCATACTGCGCTACTCCTCCTAGCTGGAAGAAAAACACTGCATGTAGAAGAAAGGACAAACATATGTCAAGCCCCTCCAAGTGTCAAACTGCTTCTGGTTTTCAGTTCATTGGGGGGGGTTGTATTTTGTGTTGGGGTTTTTTTTACTAAGAAGGGCATTTTCACTCTTCTCTCCAGAAAGAAAAGCCATGAAAATAGTTGGTTAAAAAAGAAATCAAGCCCAAAGGTCTTGTATTATCTTTCTCCTTTCTTCATTTCTTTCATTCCCATTATTCCTATTCCTCCTTCTTCAGCCTTCCCTCCCTTCTTCCTTAGGAGTGATAAATGGAAAAAAAGGAAGGAAATGATCATTGAAAACTTGTACTGGACAAAATTTGAAGAAAGAAAGATAAAGCAAATGGCAAACAAGGCGGAGAAATTGTTAAGAGTTATTTGCTTGCCATGCTCCTTCTAGACAGAGAGGTTGTGTCCATCCCTGTTCCCACCCAACAAGGCCCTTCCCATGCCCTCCTGGCAAGTTTCTTTTTCCCAGAGAGAAATGTATTGTTCACTAGCCTCTTCCCTTAGAACCTCATCTGAATGAAGGTGATTCCTGATCAGGATATCTTCAATTCTTGCGATTCCAACCCTCAACATAGTTTCCTGAGGGGAGGAAAATTGCATTTCATCTTGGTTGGAGCTCAGCTCTCAAATCTTCTCCTGCCCCAGGTGACCATGGCAGCCCTCAGGCAAGGGACCGTGACCTACCATAGCTCCCAGTGAGCTGGACATGCAGCTGTGCCCTACTCCCGGCCCTCATCTCACCTTTTTGGGTGGAGAAAAGCCATTCCCACCATAGCCCTAGTGCAGGGTTTAGCTACCAAGGAGCCACAGCTCCATCCTGAACGAAGCTCTTGATTTGCCTTTGATCCTATGCAAGTATTGCAGCTTGCCAAGGGCCAGAAGAAGACAAAGGGCAGTAGGGACTGAGCTGGAGGAAATGGAGCACGTGAAACCCTGCAGAAGAATAGGGGAGACTGATTTCTCAGGCCGTAGGTTGTGTTCGCATGGTGTGAGCTATGGGTGTTCTGCAGCAGCTCTGTTGTTTGTGCTGGCATCTGGTGACTTCTCGGAGATCTTGCTTCCCTGGTATGTGACAGGAGGGGCTTGCTGAGGTGCTTCCCTATCCTGAAAGGAGGTGGGCCTTGCAGAGGTAGAAATAAAAGCCAAGAACCAAATGACTTGGGTACACACCAAACTAGGGCTGGGAAAAGGCAGTCAGCAGTCTGAACGCAAGAACAGTAGTTCTCGTGGTCCTTTGCTTCATTAGGTTACACGTGCTTACCTATGGCAACCTCTTAGTTATTAGCTAAGTCATGCTTGAACAGGGGAAGAGGAGAGTAGTGTTCATCAAAGGAGAAGATAAACCAATACATGCTTTTAAAAAGTAAGGATTTAGATTTAGATTTAAGACTTGAGAGACTGAGGAGATGTACATATGCTGCTATCCAGTTCCCTAGGCAGGGATGCAGGGAAGGGCTGGGGCATTAAAGTGCAGACTTTATTCATGAACCTCTTGCTGGAGCCAAGAAATGTGTCTAATAGTGCTTGGAGGGGCAGTGGGGAGGTTGTTTTGCTTCGTGTCATTTTTAAATCCAGGGTAAGCTCTGCCCCTCAATTATTTTTGGAGCACGATCCTGGCTCTGTTTTGAATCCCTGACCCACGACTGCAAAGAAGGACATGTATTTTTGGAGCTGTCTGTTCTGGTTTGTCAAGCCTGAGCTTGGAAAGCTATGTGGAAAGGAAAGGGATTCCCAGAGAGAAATGCTTTCAATGTCTGTGCAAAGCTAGTTGTGGGCAATTCCATCCTGTCTTGCTTTTGGTGATGTGCCAAGCCTGTTCTGTGAAATAGCCTTT